ATCTCCGGGATAAAGCTGTGGACAGGCACAAGTCAGGAGATGGATACAAATTTTTTTAAAAGGCTTTATCAATCCCTAGAAGCACAGTGAAGTCTATTATTAAGAAGTGGAAGGTATTTGGTACAACACAGACCCTCCCTGGATCAGGACGTCAATCCAAACTGGATGAAAGAGCAGAGGAAACTGAAGATTGTTTAAACAATCTTACCTCAAAAGTGAGATTTACAGTTACTTATTCTTCAAAGAGCACACAGTCCATTCAGTCTTGTGAGCAACTCTCCACTGTTATTAAAGGGGTCATATGATGCGATTTCAATTTTTCCTTTCTCTTTGGAGTGTTACAAGCTCTTGGTGCATAAAGAAGATATGTAAGCGCGATACGCAACGCAACGCTTAAAAAGACAGTATAAGTCATTAAAATAAGCAATTATTTCCCCACTGGATGCAACAAGTGCCTCGTTTGTAATGGGTTTTATTGGTTTTGTCTCGTCCTGCTGGGAGACGGCATCACAGTATGTTAAGGGGCGTAACATTTCCGTCACACGCTTGAGGCATTCGGCCAATCACAACGCACTGGATAGCTGGCGAATCAGAGCACACCTTGCTTTTTAAGAACGATGAGCTTTGTAAAAATCGACGCGTTTCAGAAAGGCGGGGCATAGAGGAGAAACAATAATGTACATTATATGGAAAATAATGTTTGTTTTTTTACCTTAAACCACATAAACATTACACCAAATAACGTTCTTTTTAGCAATGTCATATGACCCCTTTAACTCTAACAGAGGGTAATGTTAAAGTTCTCTAAATAAGATTTTTTCTCTTTTTCAAACTTAATATCAAATCAGATCATGACCATTTAATCAATATTTATATTAAAATGTTAAAATCTTATGATAGTCGAGGAAACAGTCACTCATTGTGAAACACACTGACTCAAGAACTCACCGAACAGTCTAGACTTGCTGTTGAGATAAATGAAGTACAAAATACAGGTAATATCTATCTACAAATAAATATATCTCCACAAAATAAACAGAATTTCAGCTGCAGTGTAGCAGGTGTGTTCAGTCTGTCTGCAGGTACACTAGGTTTACTTCCTGTTTCTTAAGTCTTTATGTTGTGTGACAAAATGACCCATAAACCCGAATAATCTCGACCACTTACATTAGAAACTTGTTCAGGAAAATCTTTCTGATATTTCTATCACTTACCTGTGAGTATCAGATCCACAAGGGTCGTTGAAATATTCTGATGTTTAAAGAAGTTGATTGTTTCAGGCGTCTATATTGATGTTAATCAAGTTAGTTTCACTTTCTCTGAATCTCTCACTGAACTCCAGTGATGTCAGAGCTCCTCCTGTATTTAACTTGTCTCTGTATTTGGTGTGTTGGATTCACGTGTGTTTGATTGTATTTGGGACTGATGTTTCTATTAGTTAATGAAGAAGAGCTATCAGCAGAAAAAAATGATTCTGAAATCAGATTAGATCACGCAATCCAAATCTTGGGTTTGATCTGAATCTACAGTACATTTAAGTATCTGTTCTTCAAAATGTTTAGCAGGATTCCAGCAGAAGTGTGGATTCAGATTGGATTTCAGAAACAAAAACTTTAAATGGGTCAAATAATACAACACTGATATCATGTAGTATACATATTTATATGTTGCTCTTGATTTGTTAACCATTACAACTTGATAAAGTAAATAAAGTGCGCATTAGGCTACCTATTAAGCCTTTCAGTACAGTAAAGTAAAACAAAATTGTCCCCATAATATAATTCCCCAAACAACTGTCAAATTTGTCCATTTTTGTTCCCAATGACTTCTATTGTATGGACAAAAATCTGACTTCTATTGTTTACCATTCTTGAACACAAAAAGTTTCCTTTTGTGTCCCACGGAAGGAAGTCATACAGGTTTGAAACAACATGAAGGTTAGTAAATGATAACTGAATTTTCATATTTGGATGAATCCATTTCACAACGATTTCACTTTGTTGGGTGGAGATGGGAGAAAAAATCATTTATTGAATATTCTAAAGAATCATGACATTTTACATTTAAAATGTGTAATTATAGTTTATAGAATTTAAAAACGAAAAAACAATGAAAAAATAAGAATTTTCATCTTGTCTTGACAGGTGTGATGATCAGTGGGGCTGAGTTCTTACCTCCATTATTAGAGCACGGACTAAAAAATGGATAGAGTTTGCCAGTGAACGACTGACCAGTGTAAGACTAGATATAAGAGCCTGACTCCACATCATAAAAGGAGACCAGACCCTCCTCATAATCCACAAACACACCGACCCGCTGCGGCTTCACTCTCAGAGACAGAGAGACGTCAGTATGAGCATAGGCCCAATATTCATTCCCATTCCTCAGAACCACAGTCCAGTATCCATCACTGGGAATCAGTTTGATATCTCCTTTCCTGTTAATGAATTCTCGGACCACTCCTAAATCCCATTTAGTCTTTCCCTTCACCTGCACCTCAAAATAAAATCTCCCTGAGGAGGATCCCACCTTTCCCAGGACATTTAGATATCTACCAAATCTCTTTGGGATGTCTGGGAGTTTCTGCCAAATATCTCCATGTCTCACTTGTTTTCCATCGTCAGACAGGATGAGGTTGAGCTGTATCGGGATCCAGAGTCACATCCACTGAGAAAACAGAGAATATGAATCACAACTTCACAATACAGATATTTCATGATGATGTTTTTAGGAGCAGTCTGTCTAAAAGTCTGTGTTAAAAGAGAGCTGCCTGTTACGCCATTTAATGCATACACTTGTAGCTGTTATGTATCTTTGTAAGTCGTAAGCCCTCTTTTGAGGCATGCGCAAGCGCACGAACACCCCCCACCCCCGTTATAAAAAAAAAACAAGTGGGCTCCCCCAAAGTCCATGGTATATATAGTTCGAACACTGATTAAGGTGTTTACATGTCTATACTGCACTTCAGTAATTGTTTGTTGGGGTTTCTTGCAAGTTTCCTGCTTTTTTAAATAATGTATTCAGCTTTGCTTTTTAATAAAAAAAGTGGTTATTGTTGTTATTAATTCTAGCAGACACGGAGCTTAGTGGCAGATGGTTAAATATCCCAGTCAGATATTGCTTTAATAACATTTGTCACACCTGGTAACGTTAGTTGTTTATTCTGAGAGTTTCATGAATGTTTTTTTTCCTTCTATAGCTGTACACAGCAGATGTGACAGGACATTTGTTGATTCAGTGTAATCCCTTGTAGCCGCTAATGTTTAGCTAACAGCAACAGATAAGACCACAAATCTGAGCTTCTGACAGAATCTTTCACGTCTCTGTGCACTTGAGAATGCCTGAATGACTCTTGTTGTCTTATCTACGGCAGTATCTGCTTGAAGTTTATTTGCTCTATTTGACAGCAGATTTTGATGACAATCAAGTACAAGATAAAATCTAGAAGCCACAAAAACGCCAGTGTTGTTCTGCAGACATGTGTCCTCTGTTCTGCGCCGAGGCGAGCTCAGACTCGTGTGCAGAAAGTAAGTCATGAGCCGTGGCTTCCCTGCTAGGTTTCTAGGATCTAGGTGCCCCCAGAAGTTGAGTTACAAGTAGGCTATTAGTAATACGCAGGGGCGGTTCTGGGGGGGGGAGTGTCCCTGTGTCGACAAGCTTGGTCCCCCCTCTGGCCCCCCTAAATTTGGAATCTTATCACACCAAACAATTTTAGGTTCAATGCGCAGTTTGTCCTGTGGGTGGCGGTAATGGAAAAAAGTAAAACATCACCAGCTGCTAAATTCAAATCTGCTGTTCGCCAGACATATTTTTTACAGCGCTACGCATTATAACCAATCACACACGATTCTGTTGAGCTTATGAATGCAATGACCAATCAGAGGCATTCAGATGAGTCATCGCTGAAACGCCGGTGTTTTGTTCTCAGATGAGTCATCGCTGAAACGCAGGTGTTTTGTTCACTGCGCGCGCTGACTTGAATTCTGCTCTCTGGCGAATTGATTCTCTCATCAGAAACAACGAAGTGCAGATGTGCGTACGATGTAAGATATTCATTTCACAGTGTAAACAGCTTCAGTGATTATAACGGGAGTTTTTGAACTTAAGTTTTTGAGAGTGCTTGAACTCTGGCTAGACTGAAGTCAATGATAGTGTTTTTCGATAATGTAAATGTTTTTCCCTCCCCGCCCCCTTTTCCAGAATAGAGCTGCGCCATTACAGCTCAGACCTGCTAAAAACATGTTGGTTCTGATTATCATGTTTATCGCGCTGAACTCGTGTGTTTTAAACCATATGAGTTTAAACTGATATACGGTTTTCTGAGCGCTCACATCCAAAGCACATGGACAGAAAGCGGCCACCAGACAGCATGTGAGTACTAAACTAAGTTCTCATTCACACACAAGTTTACGTTAAAAACACACACGAGTTACAAAAACAGTCGGTTATGTCTGTGAATAAACTGCTGGGAAATAAATAGCATGTTTATTTTAGATCTGTGTGTCAGCAGCAATATACAGTAAATCAATAAATCCACTGCTCTCTTGTCTCCTCTGAGGCTGGACAGATTAAGGGGCGGTGATATTATAATGAGATCCCTTTGCAAGGTCACTAGGGGAGCGAAATCAGACGCGCTCGTTTTCTCAGACACTTGCAGAAAAAGGCTTCCCAAAACAAAGTTACTGGGTTAATCTTTTTCACGTTTCCTTGGTTGGTAGATGCACCGGAGACCTGATTATAGCACTTAAAACCTGTAAAAGCCAGATTTTCATGATATGTCAACTTTAAGTAAAAAGACGAGGTTTTTATGCATAGTTAATAGATTACACTATAGGCTACTTTGCCCATCGCCCATTAGCCTATAAATCAACTAACATAATCTATAAAGGTGCAAAATGCATTTACTTACATATTTGAGAATTGAGATATTTCATGATATAGTTAACACGTTTGGGAATATTTCGAATAAAAAGGAAAAAATAAAACATAAGCCTATATCAGTAATAAAGTGCTATCGTGGCTACTGTGTGTCACATGCCGAGCATGACGAGGCCTCCCCCACCTTCACTCATGCCCCCACAAAAATAATGAGTGCATGACTCCCCTGACACTACAATACAAAATTATTGGTCAGATAAATGAAATATGATGAAACACTCATTTTGAGTTTAAATTGTTATAGCTTACTTCTAGAGATTGCAGTGATACATGACATGGTGAAAAATGACTGAATGAATAATACTGAAAGTAGGTTCAAATTAATTTTAAAAGTGTGCCCCCTAAAAAAGTGCAAAGTGCAAGTGGCCCCCTGTGGTCTAGAACCGCCACTGGCAATACGTAATAGTGACAACGGTGCTTGAAATTTCTTTTGGCTTTGACAATTGCAAAATTCCATCCTGTGAATGTCAACAACAGAGATGAAAGAGCGGTCCACCACATCGATTACAGAAAATTACTGTGATTAGGATCAAAATTGTCAGCAAAGGAAACGTCGGTACATCCCCTTCACAATGAGCGCAGGAAGATAAGCACACTCTGCCAAAACAATGATGTCTGATAAGACACGCAGGTGTTACTGGTTCTGCATATTGTTTTTGCAAATAAAAAAAAACATACATACACACACATACACACATTGTAGGGTATACCTGAACCACACACACACACACACACCAATTATGCTGAAAAATTAGTGTTGAATAAAAAGCTTTCAAAATCCATTTTTTGTCATAATCCTTATTGGATAATGTTACATATCACCCCGGAGGATATCATAATGTTACATCTTACTCCAGGCCAGGGTATGCAATAACTAACACGGTCTATGAAATGAATTGTAACATTTCACTCCTCGTGATTGAAACAAACATTTTCTGTTTGTGCTGCAAAGATAACAGGTACGCTATTTAATAGCAGACACTTGTAACTAGTTTGAATCACATTTTGAAGGCACTGACTTACAAGAACTCCAAGATACAGACAGAAATGTCAAACATGTTACAACCATCCCCGGTCTCCCCCTAATAATTATTAATATAAATATTTCAAAAAGAACTTTATGTCGTGTCTTTGGTTTTATCAATTAATAAAAAAAAAAATAGATCTGAATTAAAAGGTTTATCAAAAAATAAGTAACTAACTAACTAACTGAATATATAAGTAACTAAAATAGTTGACATTTGGTTAAAAAGTTGATCTCCCGAGAGGCACTATCATTTTCACAAGACACCAGTTTAGATTTATAGTTAAAGTTTGGGACATTTTGTAACGCAGCAAACCAGGGGAAGTGAAACAGACAGTGAAGTGTGTTCTACACCACTGTGGTATTTTCACTGTATTTTAGAGTTCCATCTTTCGGCGTATGACCCTAATAGCAGTCAAAAAAAATTTTCAAGATTACAGATGGATTTCACAGATTTGGGGAAATCCACTGACCATGCGCACTGAAGACATGATCTCAATCATGACGCATCTGAACCACTGAAAGTGCAGAAAGATGCTGTATCAGACAGGCTATCATCACGTCACCGCATGACGGCCGTTACTCCTGAAAGAAGCACAAGCTCTGTTACATGCAGAGCCGTCCTTAGGGGGGTGCAACTGGTGCGTCAGCTAAGGACGGCCCTGGTTACATGATAATAATAATAATAATAATAATAATAATAAAAAGCATACTAAAATTAGAATGAAAAATAACTCACACATGCTGTTTTCTCTCCCATAAAACCTTTAGTTCCACTGAAATCTTCACCCCCACAGACCACTTCCTCTGATAAAACTGATTAAGGACATCTACAGCTCTTCCCGTATAGACTTTCTTTTCTGACGCATGTGCTGCTGTATGGTGTGGTTTCCATTTGAAATAAAAAATGACAATTTTTTTTTTTTTTTAAACCTACACAGAAGACATTATTCTGTAACCTAATAATGCAATTTTTTTAATTGCCCATATTCCCCTTAATTTCTTATATGGCATTTACAGTGTCATTGTATTTTATTATTTTATAGTATTATTTAATTTAATTTTTCAATATAAGTACATGGTTTAACAAGTATGCAAAAAGTAGTAAATAAAATAAATATTTTAAAAAGACTATTTGTCCCTTTATTTCATGTCACTTGTTTTATCAATTTTAAAAAAACTTTCAGTCTACAGCTTTCCTTGGTCATAGTTCAGAAGAGGATTTTCATATATGCATAAAGGTGATTTCCTCATATTGGAAAAATCATTAAATATTTTTCAACCAGTTAAATGGATCGTTCACCCACAAATTAGTGTGATTACGTAAACAAACCCTTTAAGTATACAAATCACTAGTGTTAGATTATTTATTGTTCATCTGAATGATCTGTATAAAAATGTAATGGAATAAAGTCTGATCAACAATGCTTGTTTTGAGATGCCTTCTACACCATTTCTGATAAGAATTTGTCACTGGATTTGCAAACATCACTTGAGTTATGAAATATAATATAATAAAGAACAAAAGTCTAGAACAAGAACAAAAGACAAACTAAATAATAAAAAGACTGGTTTTATCAATTCATTAAAAAAAATAATAGAACTTTAGTTTTTGAGAATTTCACAACAACCATCACTTGAGTTGTGAAATAAAACAAGGAACAAAAGTAAAGTTGCCTTGTATGACTAATAATGTCAAGATGTTGATAAATAGCATCAGCTTTTTCCGGGAGAAGAAACATTTGCTCTTTCAATATGAGCTCTCATTCCATGCAACTTAAAGTTTTCAGAAAACTCAAGAACATCAGATGTTGGTGGATTAGATCTCTACTATCAGTGAGTCAAATGTCGGTCATGCGGTTTCTTTGCTAAGGTGGAGTGAAACCGCATATACAGCAGACACATTAGGTGGTTTCTAGAAGGGAACATTGATTTTTGAGGAATGCATCTTTCACAAATGAGGACGTTGCCTGCAGCATGAATGCTTCTAAAGGTCAGGTCTGCTCTTGCTTGTCATAAGCGTATGTTCATACACTTACGCAGAGGAACAACACAAGCAAGTCAAATAAAAGTCAAAGACTGTTATGGGTACATAAATATGGCATTTTATTTTAACAACATGAGATACAGCATCCAAAAGCAAAGACATATTTAAATGAGCAAAGAACATGCAGCTAAATAAAACAAAAAATGGCAAAAAATTGCCTACTCAGTATTGCCGACTCCCTTTTTTAACTCTAAACAGCCTCAATACAAACTAACAGAGGCACCAAAAGTTCCACGACTTTACATGCTTTTGGCAATTACCTTTGAGAACTTTGAGAAATTATGTCAAGTTACACTGGTGATGATTGCATTCTTTAGGACATTTTATAAGTTAGCACTTATAATAAAATGGAAAAATACACCAAAGGGTGCATACTCTTCTACCTTAGTGGTAGTTCTGCTTAGCAAATATCAGTTATGGCACACGGTGCCAACACATTCAACATACTGGTTACCGCAAATCATGCAGAACCACAAATAATAACACTTTAAACGCACAAAAAAAGACGTTTTTCCACAAATAAATCAGAAAATTTCATTTAATTCCATGATCAAATATGAACTAATTTTTTGTAAAAACAATTTAAAAAAATTATGATATTAAACTCTTGAGAACCACAGCAAGATGGAAAAAACCCTGTTGGTTAATACAACCAATAGTGAATTCACCATAGTTAGAGGTCAGATAATATTAAAAATACAACAGAAATAAAAACTTCTGAATAGCTTGTATTGAGTCAAAGATTAAACATCTACTAAACTATCATTTGTATTTTTAAAACTGTGTAGACATTAATGTCTATTTTTAAATCTTATTTCAAAACGTGTCCTGATTAGGAATGGCAAATTTTTGATAATCAAGTCATTTTTCTGTCCTTGCTAAAAGCAAAACGGCATATGACTTGACAAAAACAGTCAATCAGAACATCAAATTTTACGTGAAGCGGAACTGTGGACCAATGAGATTTCACTGTGGGCGGAGCTACACCGCATTATGCGAAAGACTCCAACAAAAATAATTTTTCTGTCCTCACTGAAAGAAATACGCTGCATGACGCAACAAAAACAGTCAATCAGAACATATCTGATATGAAGCGGGACTCTGAACCAATGAGATTTCACTGTGGGCAGAGCTACACCTCATTACACGACTAGACAACTAAATAGTAATTTTCTGGCCTCACTGAAAACCAAAATGATGCATGACAAAAAAGCGGGATTGTAGACCGATGACATTTCACTGTGGGCTGAGTTACACTGAATTACGCCACAGACTCCAATGAAATCACTTCTTGTGGTTGTGGCTGAGAACTTATTGTAACACCTTTGGTGCCAGAATCTTAGTCTTATCGCCTAGTCCTTCAACTAAAATAATTTAAAAAGCCCCATCCTGAGACTGAAGGGTCAAAATCTCTGCGGCCAGTCTTTGTGGGTCCAGGAGATACGGGAACCTGTCCATGGCTCTGTCCACCAAACGTACATTGAAAATTGCAAGTAATTTCTTCCTCACTTGCTCCCGTTCGGACCACTGAGGATTGTGATTGGAAGGCGACCAGTGTCCAAGTCCTCTCTCTGGCTGCATGGAATTGTGGGACGCTGGAGGATAGCCACCATAATGGTCAGACCAGTAGCCCTGCTGGGGAGGAGGCCCTCTGCTGTGTGGAAATGAATACTGGGACATGTTAACAGGTGGGTAAACTGAACCTCCTCCATAGGAGTGATACTGGGGTTGAGCATAACTTGGGTTTGGTGAGCTGGGCAGGCCCATGCTATGGTGCTGACCGGCTCCACTGGTGCTTAAGGATTGGTAGGAACAGCAACTGCAAGGTTGGCTATTGGCCAGAACGTAGCGATGCCGCCCACTGTTGGATGGTTTGGACTTCCTGTGGTCGCAGTAGCGATCACAATGGGAAGATTCAGGAGAATGGCATTCGTAGGAACCCAAGCCAGAATCCAAATGCTCCTGAGATCCATTGGGAAAGGAATCTAGTCTTGTTGGCGAATGCCGTTGTTCTTTTTTCGAAGGAAACTTTCTTTGAGTTGGCTGGGGGGCTGCTTTAATGACAAGGACATTTTCACTGGCGTGACTCTTCTTGAGAGATCCAGCATCCAGGGAGAGTTTCTGTTCCATTACTTCCTCCAGAGACGGACTCTGACTGGAAACCGGTTGAGGTTTGTGTGGTGTGGATGAAATTTTGGCTTTGTCTCGGAGCTCATCGGCCAGGGCACGCTGGGATTGCTTGGTTCGCTCTGGATGATTGAACTTGCACTTGATTCCATAAGTGCACTTCTTTCCTGCATTTGAAAACAGGAGATTTTAATTCTTGTTCACATAGTATGAGCTATCCATGTGTGGTCAGAAAAGAGATGGTATATACTACCATTCAAAGTTTGGGTGTATAGGATTTAAAAGTTTCACTGTCAATCAAAAGTGACAGTAAAGAAATTCATAATGTTACAAAAGAGTTATTTTTCAAATAAATGCTGTTCAAATAAATGTATGTATCTTGGTTTTCATAAAAATATTAAGTAGCACAACTGTATTAAATATTGATAATATTAAGAAATATATCCTTAGAAGCAAATCAGCATATTAGAATGATTTCTGAAGGATCATGTGACACACTGAAGACTGGAGTAATGATGCTGAAAATTCAGCCTTGCATTACAAGAATAAATTATGTTTTAAATTATATTAACAAAGAACAAAGTCTTACCGACCCAAAACTTTTGAACGCCAGTGTATATTGCTTATCAATTCCTTGTATCTAGATTATCTCTTTTATAAATGGCCATGCCAAATAAAAAATTTTTTATGCGACTCCCTGATAATTACACCATGTGACTGCAAGACCGCATGAACTCACTAGTTAATCTAGTACAATGTCAATCATTCAAGAAAAAAAAAAATATATATATATATATATACTTACCATAAGGACAGGGCTGTTTCTTAGGTATACGTGGAGTCTTCCTGAGAAAGTTGTCTAGGGTGGGTCCATGTCTTCCCAAAGGGTCATCCGGAGGCATAAACCTACACAAAAGCAATGTGAATTTATTCAAATTTGAATTAATTAGCAGCAGAGCTATCAAACAACTTGATCTATGCTGCAAAGACCAAAATGCAACGGCACTTACTTGTCATTGACGAACGAATACATCAGAAGCCTCTCCTCTATAAAACGCTTCCACTCAGGACGTTCTCCTTGCAGATCTCGGTAAGTGTCGTTGGATACAATAATGCCGTCAGATTCGTACGCCAGCTTCACAATAAAACGGTCATCGTAGCAAACCACTCGTTTTCCTGCCACTCTTCTGGATGGTGTGAACACCAAGAGCTTCCGCCGCTCTAATTCACGCAGAATGTGCTGATCTGAGAAAAATATTCATGAAATTTAAAATCTGTTGGTGCGTTTTACAATTGTCATTTTGTTGCTTTATGTAAATTATAAAAAATCTGAACAATAATAAAACTAGCATATTTAGTCATGCATTTTAAACTTAAAGTAACGCCTAAATGCATCTTTGCACTTCTAGAAATAAATGTTTTAAGACTAGTTTTTCATATTACTTGATTAAAAAAATAACTCTTATAGTGCAATATGCTGAAAAAAAAACATTGAGCTATGCAGTGGCTAAAGATGTCTGTCTGATATCATTCAGCCCTGAATGTCAGCGGAGATCAGGACAACTAGATGAGCCCCAGAGACAGATCCCTCCCCAGTGAAGACCTTGTCTCCTAGACGGCCACCGGGACAAGACCACAGGAACCAGTTGAGTCCTCTGCACAATCTGACTTTGCTGCAGCCTGAAACTGAACTGCTGGTTTCGTCTGGACAGAGAACTGGCCCCCTGACTTAATTTCCAGCGATATCGTCGACTTGATTGCACAGATACTATTTAAACTGGACTGAGCTGGATGATGAACTGCCTTTAACTGAAAATTGAGTGTTTACTATTGTCATTTTGCATTATTGACACACTATTTTCCTAATTAATACTGTACAGTTGCTTTGACACAATCTGTATTGTTAAAAGCGCTATATAAATAAAGGTGA